ACGCATCATATTTTCTCTCAACTCTTTTTACCTTTTCTGACCCACTTCAGGTCTTAAAGTCTCTATTAATGAGCTAAATGAGTTAAATTGGGTGTGTTAGATGAGTGAGACAGTGCTGGGCTGCTCCAGGACAGTTTTGAAAACCATTTCAGAGACATGTTCTTAAATGTGACTCATATAAAATATATTACATGCATGCAAAGTTTTAAGGCAGTTTAATCGTCTTTTTGGTAACTTCATGACTTAACTGACCACGGCATTGCATGCGTGTAGTTTATTTCTCGCTTTGATATGAAAGGATACAGGCTACAGCGCGCAATTGAGCACGCGCTTCGAGCACAGTACCGTTTCCGCGCTCGCTTGACTCGCCCCTGGCACCGAAGTGAAGAGGAGTGCGTGTCTGAAACGTCGGATCAGGCCCTTCCAAACAGAGCATGCTGAACAACTTCTTGCCCAGGCCCTTGTCATTTCTAGGCTGGACTGTTGCAATGCTCTTCGGACCTCAACAAATTATTCAGAATGCAGTGGCACAACTGGTCTTCCATGAGCCCAAAAGGGCCCACTTCACACCTCTCTTTATCTCCCTGCATTGGCTACCGGTTGCGGCTCGCATCAAGTTCAATACATTGATGTTTGCGTACAGAACAGCCACAGGCTCCTACTCCTACTTCCTCCTCACTCTTATGGATCTACATCCCCTCCAGAAGCTTGAGATCTGTAAGTAAGCGATGCCTCGTGGTAACATTACAGAGAGGCATTTTCGTTCACCTTTCCTGGCTGGTGAAATGATCTTCCCACAATCGCAGTAATTAACAGAACACCCAACACGTTATCGAGAAAGCAAGCAAAGAGCGCTCCCTTTAATACAATCACTACAGCTGTCAATAAGTGGCAGCGCGATTGGCTACATTGCTCAGTGTGTACTGGACCGAGTCGAAATAGTCTAAGTTATTGGACCCGCAACCCGCCCATGCTTGTCACCATCCAGCCCGCACCCGCATCACACCCTACACATAAATATTATTCTACCCGTTACATAAAATATTTGCGATTCACCTGCATGTACCCACCCACATGCAGGACTCTGGCTTCCCCCTTGTGGACACTAACATAATAGACAACTCTGGCCCCAGAGAGTGATTGTAAATTAAGTTTACATGAAATATGTTTGAAATTTCATTCTGCATCTTCTGAGATTTCATTGAAATCCTTCTCATAAAGTCACTGAATTAACCATTAACTGTTAACTTGATTGCGTTGCCATCTGCATGTGATGTTAGAGCGTTGTTTAGAGAGAACAAAAATGTATTGGAAACACACTACCGCTTACCTGACTCTGCCTGAGAGGTAAAGAAAAATACACTTACCTGAGATGATTTTTTTATATCTCTGAAACATATGAAAGTATTTAGTATAGTATCGATAGTAGTAGATAGTATTCTAACAATCTTTTAATGTATTATCGAATAAAATCTTAGTTGATTATCAAAGAAAGAAAAAATTAATAGCCATAATATGGGCTTTTGTAAATGCTGTGCTACTGTTATGCTCAGATACTGTGATTTCCTTCTCACATTGCTGATTTCACCATTAACTCTTCACCTGAACAGTTTATGTTGCTGTATATGGTATCATTGTAACCCTTGACCATCAAAACATAGGGGTAGACATCACCTTTTCTGTGTTATCCTGTTTGGTTCAGGAGCTATGACACAAAATACATAATTTGGTTATGGCGGAAAGTAAAATGGTCATGGCAACCACAAGGTGTTTTTGCGATGGCTCCATTTCTGCAAATGTTTAGGGCAGCAAACTATACAATTGGACCAAGTTCCATGCTTTAATGAAAAAGTGAACATTATTTTCACATATCACCTGGACTACTATACGAGTAACACATCTTGGGTATTCTATAGTCTTTGCTATAGCAGAGCAAGAACAAGAGAAACAAAGAGACAATGAGTGCTGATAAAAATACACTCACACGTTAGTTACATAAGACTAATCCTTACCCCGTCTAACTCCTCGCTCAAACGCACACACACCGGTACTTAATAAGACGGTCACTTTCCTAACACTAAATGACATAAACCTAGACACATGTTAAACTTCAATGTGTACCACAGACTAAAAGAGCAAATATAAAACACTGCCTGAAACTACTGTATTTATCAAACCCAACTTGGTTGAGCTTTGTAAATGAACTTGATGAACCATCCTTTGATTACTAACCATTCAGTGCATATCTGAGGTATGTCCTGATAGCATAAAAATATCATCTAATACTGAAAGCCCGGGCCATCCTTACAAATTTCAGAGATTATCTTCACAGTGAAACTTTCAGTTAAATATGGCCCACTGTGAATTATTTTATGACGAGTGCATTATGACGAGCATCTAGTTGTGGCATACATATTCAAACAACAAAGACATAACAGAGCTCCTAACATGCCTTTTCACATATTTCCCTGTTGGTTTAACAGTAGTGACATTGTGCAAGGACAGTTTGTGCCATTTATGGAACTGACAACAGGTTCAAAAAAGATGTTATCACATGGTTAACTGTGGTATGAAAAGTATAAACATTACACATAATGTATGTACTGTATGTACATCTATGCATGTACCATTTCTGTGCATTGTTTTTGTTGCTACCTGTTTTATATTTCCTTTGGAATTAATGCATGTAAAAAACACTCATCTTAAAGATAAAGGTAGGTCTTGACCCCATATTTCACTTAGGAAATCTACTGTAACTGTTTTTTATTCTAGGCAGATGTGTTTGGAAGTTTCCTCTGACTCAATAACCAGTTCGTAACCTTTAATTTAGACTTTGTTTTAAGAAAGAGTTGCAGTCTTGGCAGAATGTTATGCAAGGGGAATACTCATACACACATAGATGACATCAACTGACTTAAAACCCATTGCATTTTGGGAAATTCAATCAATAATTAAAAGCAATTGCTTAGCCATGCAGTAGACACCAGAGATAGAACATAGTTTTATTTGCAGCGATGCCTGATAAAAGGCATCTTGACAACAAATTCTCAGAATTTGGCTGACACTTCAAAGCAATTTGCACTTAGGGGAGGCCGGGGCTAGCTGTCACACTTTTAAACAAGTGCATATTTCTCAGGGTAGGTTTCTTAAGTCTATGCAGATACACACCTTTTAATCTGAATCTGCCAATACACTCAACTATTGAACATGTCCACTATTAGTGTCAGGAAAAAGACCAATAGACTTGAAGCCCATTGCATTCTGGGAATTGGCAATAGATTGTCACAATGTAACTTGCCGTTAAACCACGTAAGCTTTTCAGCTAAATTATGAAGGACAAAATAATACAAATGTAGAAGGTAACATACAAAAACACCAAACCACAACAAAACAATTAACCAGCACAGGTCAACTTTTAAAATCTGCCATTTCCTTGCTCAAGGGAACCAGGGCACGTTACGGATCAACTCTAGTAGGATGTGAACCTAAAACCTTTAGATTAGTAGCTCACCACTACGCCACCCTAAGATTAATGATCAATACTAACCCAACATTACTGGACTCAACCTGACATTCATGCATCTAAACAAGCCCAAAGTGTATATTTACAAACATTTCACAGGTGTTCGCCGTAAAAAGCGGTTGCATGTCAAAATCGAAGTGTACAGGTTCAAAGGCATCATATCTCACCTGTTCTCCGAAGTCGATGGCTATATTTGTAATGGCTAGCGGCAGCAGAAAGCGAATAAGAGGCCAGTACGCATTGCGTGATAGACAGTCCATCATGATAAATGATGACAATAATATTTAAGGCATTCGTCCGTGAAGAGTCGCTTTATGGTTTGCGGCTTTCAGCTGCCTGTAGTGAAACTGGAAAAACTGGAGACATTGTCATTCCCAGCGCTTCCGATGAGAAGGTCATCCAAACATTTCGCATTATATCATCATGTCATTCACCCGCGAATTAAATCTCACTGCCACGAAGTACTGATGCAGGAAACAGCTGAACATGAGCATTTGTGCTGTCGGCTGTGTTTGCTTGCGCGCGTGTGTTATTTATACTCGTGCAGAACACACGTGGGGTGTCACAACACCCTTCTCCAGCTGTTCGCGTCAGTCTGCTGGAGAGGTACAAAGAATGAAGAGCATTGATTTATTGTTTCTTATGGAACATTAGTTCGTCTTTGTCTTAGAAAAATGCTATTTGAATAAGATGCCAACGGAAATGGTTTAATAAGTTACAGTGGAAAGTTATGTGTATATTATTTTTAATCTCTGCTGCCCTCTACTGAATGTTGTTTGGAGAGACGGGCCGGGGCAACTCACAGACGACTATAAATCTACCTGCAATTAGGTTGATGATACACTGGGCAACTTTTTGAGCAATGTTGCTGTGCAACTTTGGGGAATGTTGCCGTCAACGGGCAACCATGTGAGACAAAGGGCCCACGACCGATCTAAAATATCCAGATAGAAATTTGTTACCCATTCGTAATGGGAAAGTGCCCAAGCAACACTGCTCAAAAAAAAAAAAAGAAAAAAAAAGGTGCCTGGCAAAATTGCTCAAAAAGTTGCCCCGTGTATCATCAGCCTTAGTGTCTTATAGGCTAGGCATATTATTTGAAATGGGTTAAAATCCCTTCATTAAAATATATCAGTATCAGCTAGATACTTTAATGAATACACAGTTTCATTACATATTTTAAAGATTAAAAAATAACATACGCTACCAGTCAAAAGTTTTTGAACAGTAAGATTTTTAATGTTTTTTTTTTTTTTTTAAGGAAGTCTCTTCTGCTCACCAAGTCTGCATTTATTTAATCCAAAGTACAGCAAAAATAGTAA